AGATAATGATTATGTTTACGAAGTTTATAAACAGATTTCTGTCATCTAATCGTTTTAGGCATCAATTATGTGTGATTTGAATAAAATTGTCCCTCCTGTGAATGTAATTTGTTACGTATATACTAGTGGCCTATGTATAAAATGCATAAAGCATTATGAAAACCATCGGGATCGAAGTACGGGATCGAACCACGTGTAAACATTATGGCATCCTGAGACGTTTTGTTACCGTTTTGTACGTCCCCATAAAAAGATTCATGTGCGTGAATTGTCAACGAGTCTTCGGATTATGGCTCTGATTTTGAAGAAATATGATTCTGACAGCATTTGGTAGCAAGACGGATGTAGTGATATGATGATACCGAATCAACAATGTTTGAATTTGAAAAAGAAACAGGTAGGTGGATCTTGGTTTATAATACTATGTACCTTATAAAAAGGCTTATTGATAGGTAAAAAATAAATAAATAAACAATTTTGATGGGGACTTGGTTATGGACAAGAGAAGATTTTTTACAAGACACTATCAGGTCTGGTACAATCACTAGATATAGCTAAATGCGTCTACTAGCTTGAATTACCTACTTTGTTAGCTTTATTTACCTACCTGAAGTAGCTTTATTTAGCTACCAAAGTAATTTATTTCTATAAAAAATACCTACGTAGCTAAATCTAGTGATTGTACTGGACCTGAATATATACCTAGCAAACCAGTCAAGAGAAATTTCAACATGTTCAAAGTTGGTACCTGTACATGTAGTAGCAATAAAAATATCTGTATGAATTCAACAATATTGCAAAATAATTATAAATAGCATAAGTAGCCTTTGTGGGGTGATGAAGAGGGAATGAAAAGTTGAATAGGTCCAGGGTTTTCAAAGACTGTTTACCAGTAGGGTACATTAAGAATTGGATAGGCGGGTCTTCACTGTCAATTAAATCACCATTATTGCCTTATATGTGGGCTGCTTGATCATAAAGAATCTCATTAGACAAAATATTTTTTTTCAGATATTTATGAAATGTTATGAAGATCAGGCTACAGTTATGATTTTCGGCTTTTCATATATGATTAGAGGAAAAAAGAGTTGTCAAATACTTGTACTTTTCAAATTAAAGGTCACCATGTGTTCCTTGACAAGTTTGTGTTTAAAACATACCGGTAACTAATTAAATATTATAAATATAAGTCTAGGAAATTATACTTTGTAAAGAATATTTCCTTTCATTCTTATATTTCTCGTGCAATTTCAGATTATTCAAATTCATTTCCCTGTTTAGGGCTGGGCTTTACAATGGGATTTTCAGCTGTGGAGCTATAAAGAATTACTACATAGGGTTTCCAATGTAGTTTTGTTTACAGAATCCAGAAATAAGATTAATTTAAATGTATCATTATCATAAACATGACATTTATTTTAAAAATCTTAGAATATGTCTTGTATGTTTTATTTCAATTTAATTTGAAAACTGTGTTTTTTCACAGGTACCTGATTTGAGTACTACTCTTGTGTATTTGGAGACAGTCCAGAAGTGGAAATTTCAGTGCTTGTTAAATTTTCTCCAGAAGTTATTGAATGATACATAGGAAGAAAATGGGGTCATACTGAACAAAATAGTTTGGACACACCTTATAGATTTTGAAAGATTGAGACCTCAAGATCAACCCAAATAATATTTAATATGTATCAGGGTTCACTTGCAGGAATACACAGAAATACAGAGTAAATTTTAAGGGTTTGTTATCTTAGAAAAGATCAAAGTTCAAGGTCAGCAGTGCTTTAGTTTTACCAAATATAAAACTGTTATAAATTTCCTGTATACAGTTATGGCAAATAATTCAGAATATGATTTGGGGAAACCGTGATTTTTTCTTTTAAATCTTACCTTAATTTAGAACCATGATGTATACTTAAGCAAGTAGATTTTTTTTCAAGCATACAAAATTTCAAGGTCATTTTAATTTTGGAAGTGAATATAACATATCAGGAAGCAGTCAAGCATTGTTATTTATTTGTTGTTGAATGTACTTAGTTATTGAGTAATATTCAAATTTTAATATGCAATGAAATTAAAAATTATAAAATAACTAATGTCCTAATTTGTTGATTTTTAAAACTTTGTGTTCATTCATTTTGAGGTTGTTGCCATTACAATATATCTGTCAAGAAAATAGCTCTGATATTCCTTTTTGTTCAGTTTGACCCTTGACCCTTGACCTTTAACATTGTGACCTCAAAATCTAAAGGGGTCCTCTACTTCTCAAGAAACCAATGTACTAAATTTTATGTCTGTCAAACAATGGGTCCTCACGATTTTGAATGATTAAAATCTACATACTGGTATATCGAGAATTATAACCCTTGACCTTTGACCTTGTGAACTCCAAATTAAAAGGGGTCATCTACATATTAGTAGATACCAGTGTACTTTGTTTATTATTTATCAAGCAAGTTTTTTTTAAGATAAGAAAGAACAAACTTGGTCTACTGATTGACAAACAGGTACTAAACAGTATGTGAATATCACCCTGCTCAAAGAAAATGTAAAATAATACAATTCTGCTACCCCCCCCCCCCCCAATTTAACCCCATTTAACCCCTTAAAAAATAATTATTGATTGAAAACAAAAATTTTCAATATACTGGTATTTTTCAACAGCAAAATTTGAATTCTTGAAAATATTTAAATCAGCAAATAACTCCTTGCTGAAGTTCAGGGATGAGAAAAAATTTGAAAATTCACAAAAAATGTCCAACTTTAAGTAAAATTTGAGAGTCCAAAGACAGATTTTTTATATAATGTAGACAGACATGTTGTCTAATAATTGGTATGAGATTGAGTTGATTCTAAGCGTTACTTTCTGAGTTATGGGTTTTTGAAAAGTTAATATTTTTACCAGTTTTCAAAAATCTGGAAATATGCCAGATTTGTGACCTTTTTGCACTTAAACGAGGGCACAGTTTGTGATTATGAAAAAATTTCCGAAACAAGTATATCTTGTTACTTTCAACCATTTATGGATAATTTATATCATAATCAAGTAAAATGCTGAACTTTTAAATATAAAATCCTATAAAATTCCTGTTTTCACCCTGCGTAAGGACCAAGAATTCTATTTTTAGTAACAGTGTCGATTCTACCCCTTAAGTGAGACCACACTGAAAAAAAATTTGTGGCAAAATATTTCAAATTATAGAGGAAATTTACACACAAAACATGAAGTTGATCAGAGAACCTTGCTCCCATAACCTCTTGCATGGTTTTCTCGTAGACATGCTCATAAATCTTTATATGCTATTATAATCTGCTACTTTTAACAAAAGAACTGCAACACATTCTTGATCCGATTTTAAAAATTCCTTGTCGAGGGTAAGTGTTTCCAACTTCCTTCAAAACCGAATATAATTAATTCTTTATTTCATTCCCCTGATTTGAATGCATCGCAATGAGCATTTAAGGGGAGACAGGGCACATGTCACTTGACTAAAAAGACACATTACGTCATAATCGGTGATGATATACAATTTTGATATATAATTTTATTCTTAATTCCAAAATTGTTTTTTTAAACATTTAATTCTAGAAATTATTATTAATAAACTTTTTAAAGGTCTTGTCATCATTTAGATATTGTGAAGTTGCCCAATCCACACATTTGTTTCTGACAGTCTGACGTCAGTGACGTCATAGACGTAGTGTTTGAATTTTCAGTGCAGCGAGATCAAGTACACACACCCGTCATGATCAGTCTTATTTCATAATAAACAGGTCACAGTCAATGTATTATGATAAATTTCTAAAGCAGATTTTTTTTTAATTAATATTTTTTCGTGTTTAGTAGCAGAGATTCTATCTATTTAGATAATTTTGAATTTTTATATTTTCGTGTGACGTCACAATTGATTTCCCGCACTCGGAAAATACAAACGTGTCGTAGAAGCGTTTTTATCATGCTTACGTCTATAATTCAACGATGTCCTGTAGGAATATTGAGGTAAGCTTCACCCTGTGATATTTATGCAGTAAAAAATTACGATGAAGGACTGGCATTCAATCATAAATTTGGAAATATTTATTGACAGAATTTTTTCCAAATGAGGTTTTTGACGTTGAACCTGCCTTGAAAAATGCAGAAATAATCCCACCCAAATACTATATAAAATTAAAACAATTGCTTTCAGATAATTTAAACACTATAAATATTCTGAAATATTTGAGTATATAGTGTTATCTATCATATTTATCGTTTGTGCGTAAAAATTTGCATTATGGACTCTGTTATGGCCCGTAAACATGAAGTATCTAAACTCCATACAAACTCTAAACAGGGCGGTATTTGAGGGCGATATCTTTTAAATTAATCAATAAATCCCATGATAGGATCGTTTTTTTGACAGGAATTTTTTTTAGCTAAAGGTCCTGTTCCTCCTTAAAATACTAAAAAGCACTGTTTGGAAAAAAGTGTGCGGGGGAAAACTGCCTGCTACAATAATTAATTCACAGTGATTAACTGTCAACATACTAATAATAGTAAAATATGATTATTTACAGAAAAATAATAAGATTGGGATGGGGATGCAAGAATAAATCACAAATCTGCAGTGAATGATCTAAGTTTTTTCAAAAAATATTCTGATGAATCAAAAGAACAACAGCGCCATAAGACGTCAAATATATATTTATGAATCTCTTTTGAATTCAAATCTACAAGATTTATGCAAACACAGCTGTATACAAAAAGCGATGATCTTACTGATAATATAATTATATACGTTGTGTTCATTTTAAGACTAAAATACAACTGGAACTACATGTAAGAATGCTACAATTGAGTATAATGATCAATCGCATCGGATCCTTCCGTAAACAACCTCGAAGTTGTGTTTCCGCCTGTCGGAAAGACACGAGAAGGTGCGATGATTATTGAAATAACATCGTTTAAGAATAAAAATAAATCACATCAGATGAAATAGAAGTCTAATCCTTTTTCAGTTAAGATGCATCAACATCCTACTGATGATGGAGATGGTTCGGCTACATTATACCAGAATCTTAAAGAAATAATCATTCATAAAACAGGCATTATTTGTGATACTTCTTCTATTTTTTTATACATTTCAAAAACATCAGCTATTTGTATACAAAAAAAAATAAATCCTTTACCTAATTACACATTACCCTCTTAATGTATATTTAAACTCGAGAAAAAGTATCAATCTGATGGCCAAAACGTACAGACGATCCACATTGAATTTAAATACAACATGTACGTAAAATTTAGAATTCAAATACTAGTAAATTGTATATAGCAAATGAAATTAGTACAATGGAAATGTAATAACCGAATATTTTAATTGAGCAATCAATATGTCTGTGCAAATTATCTTAATTACAAACAACTTTAAGAATCGTGTTACGCAAAGAATAAGTACCTACGTATTTTATTTTCTTCAAATATGTGAATTCTTTATAAAGAGAAAAAATTACTTGTATCTTAAAGGATCGCGTCCAGTTGATGCACAGCATGTGTATGACTTTGATAAACACATCGATGGATTCCCTCATCCACCATCACTGGGTATTGATCATGACAGCAGTGGAACACTCTTGTGGACAGAACCTGAATTCAACGCATTCATACATGACCTGGCAGGTCAGAAATCAAAATGTATCACTTATAACTATAGTATAAAGGCATGTACAATCATGTATGCTGCATGTTTAGTACAGTAGTATGAATCAACGTAAAAGGTGAAGATAACGAGCAGCGATTCATCTAAAAATTCCATAAATAGTAACAAATATGTTAAGAGGACATTAAACACGGACCCCGGAAGTTCCAGAGGTGGGACCAGGAGCCTAGGAGGAGTAAGTATCCCCTGTTGATCGACCGGCCACACCCGCCGTGAGTCCATGAGGTTATTCAAACAGTAATATTCAGTTTTATTATGGGGCACTGTTTCAATATTTTTAAGGTATTTTCTGATTATCAAAAAATCATTTTGTGATTTTAAAAAATTCGATTTTTTGATATCAAAATATCATTTTCTCATATCAAAAAATCATTTTCTAATATCAGAAAATATATTTTTTGATATTAGAAAATAAACAAAATTTTTTAATCTCAAAAATTCGAATTTTGATATCAAGAATTTGATTTTTTGATATCCAAAAAATATGGGGCGCCGTTTTAATATTTTAAAGCTATTTTTTGATATCAAAAAATCACTTTCTTTTATCAGAAAATATATATTTTGATATCAGAAACAAAACAAGCGTTTTTGATATCAAAAATTCGAATTTCTGATATCAGAAAATAATTTTTTTATATCAAGAATTCGAATTTTTGATATCAAGAATTATTTTTTGACATTTCTTTTTTGATATCAGAATATACCGCAAAAATTTTAAAACGGTGCCTCATTTTTATAGCTCTTTCAGTGAAATGTTTGGGGGAAAATTCAGGCCAAGATTTTAAGACCTCGGACTAAAGAGCATTCTGCAATTAAGACTTTCACATATATACTAATCTGTAACAACATACATGTACTTATTGTGTAAATCAAGTACATCTTCTGCTCTGGAGTCGCGGGGCACAGAGTTGACCCTTGCGTAACGGTTTCAAATCCAGCTGGAAGAACGGACCTTTAAATGAGTCGTGTCGCAGTAGGCGATAGAATGAAAAATATCTATTACTCTAAATGGCCCTGAGTGCCGAGTATATAGGTATAGGTATAGCCCACTGCCGTCAAGTTGTGGCGTCTTCATACGAGTGAAAAATTCTCGGGAGGGACGTTGAACAACAAACAAACAAACAATCAATGAAGCAGTAATTTCTTCTACAGGAATAAATTAAAATAAAATACACGATACTTATGTATATTACTTTTTAACATACGGCGTTGCCATGAATATTCAAATAGATATTTCTGTACAATCCTTTCAAAGGGCTACTTTATTTCCAGGTTAAGTCCGATTACAATTTTAAAAACTTTTAAACTTGCCTCAAAAGAGACTAAACAAAGAAACGGTATTTTATTTATTGTTGTTGTCGTAGTTTCAAGTCAAAGTTTTCTTATCGTCCATTGTTTTACGTACAAATCAGTAGAGCTGCAGTTTCATCAGGGGGCGTGTTTTTTTTAACTATTAATGCAATTCAATAAATTATATGTTTCCTATGAATATATTAAATTTTGAATTTATATATGCAACCGTATGGATAACTTCTGTTTTGACACGTTTTGTAGGATGGGATGATATTCATGAAGAAGATGTATTGCATTACATGAACATTTTTCAACATGATCCCCAGACTGATGTTAGACTCATGTACAAACACATTATGAAGGAGCTAGGTGGGTAACTGAAATGCTTTTAGTAGTGTTAGTTTGTCCTTGTATGAAACAGAAGTGACGTAATTAGCATCGGGATCGATATCAAATGCTGTCTTGATTTATAGATATGCTCTTTGCGAGGGCATGTTTTGCATTTGTGATGGTCCTGACTCACGCTTTATTAAATGCTTTTTACGAATTAAAGAAATCAAAAGATCATCGTCATGTTTCTTTTAAGGTCATGTGGAATTTTATTGCCATTCAATTTATCAATTTAAAAACGTTTTATGCAATAAAAAGTCGATTCTAAATTTACATTTAATGTAAAAAAGAAAATAAGAATTTTGTGTAAAATAAATACTAATTAACTGTGTATGTAGTAAAATGGAAGTTATAAATGTAGAGGATATCTTGTCCTAAAACATTTAGGAAAGTCCTTATTATTTTGTTGATTTTATGCTACAACATAGCTTTACAGACTTCTAGTCTTTGGGTTTATGTGTGCCTTCAATATTTCACAGGACGTCGTCCTACAGTACAAGAACTCGGCTGTTTGTTACCAGTACTTGAAGGTAATGAAGTTTGTGACTCCTCCCGTAAAACACCAGGTACCTAAAATGTTAAATCTAATTCTCAGTGAGGGTTTTTATTTGATAATCGTAATTATGGCAAAAATCGCTTTAATACAGTAGGTTTTTCTTAGAGCAAAATTTTTCTGCTATATCCCATTTTATTACCGACCTAAAATTTTGTGTTTAAATTAATGTTTATTGCCTTGTCATGTTATCAAGTTACACGTATATTGTAAATTGTTAGGGCATGCTATATATATACACTGTACATCTAATCAATTTGGTAATTTTCTACAAAATTGAGGACTAAATTATATGGCCGTTTTAATTCACATACAAATGTATGCGTATCATTTTGAAAGAGCTATATCATAGGTTTTTTTTTTACTTAATTGCTAAACACAACAAACATTATGCTCATGTTCTCAATATAAAAAAACTCTGCATAGGTAAACAATATGGTATAACTTTTGTTGCATAAGTGTATATAACTTTTTTTTATACAAGGGGATTTCATTTCAAAAAACTCAGAACGCTAGCATGTTCTTTATATATCTGCCTTCTTTTATTCAGGTCAACTTCTCCTCGCGATGGAGGAGTGCAAAGGAAAACTACAACAGCAAAAGTCTCAAAACAATGTCTTGGAGGGAGAACTTCAGCTGACACAGAGTCGTAACAATGTCTTACAGGGCAATCTGTCGTCAGTGCACAATGGCCTCAATGTCCTGAAAGCAAAGAATAGAAAACTAACGATGGGATTGTTTGCTGTGGTTGGATTTGTGTGTTTAATGGTATTTGGTCTCATACTGGCCTTGTAAAAGAAATTTACTCAGAATTTTAACTAATTTTCCATCATAAGAAATCCATATTCCTTATATATATTTTTATTATTCTGTATGTATATAACATGTGTACCTTATTTTCAGAAACAGTAAGGATGCATTATGTTCTGAATTAGTGTCTATTCTAAACAGAAAATCCCAATGTTCTTTTTTATACAATTTGTACATAGTATATATTTTATTGAATATAAAATATATTTTCAATAAATTGTTCTATAAAATCTTTGCGCATGTACATGTACGTGCAAATGCAATAAAATTAGCGATACTTATAAACATTAATCATGTATGTAATCATATTGTTGTAACATATAGAAAATATTAATGCATGTATTGAATATCATCACTTAAAATTAAATAAACATTTTCTTAATTACACAAGTGTATATATTTAGTGGGCAATTAATATGAACAACGATGATCAGTGAAATTTAAGACAAATTTTCTACATTTTGTACTTATCTTCCAAAATTCCCATTTTAAGTAAATGTTAATGACATTTTCATTTTTTATGAAACATATTTTATTCAAAAACTTCTGCACGAGAAGACGAAAACACTTGCTGTTCCTTCACCTCGACATTAAGATACAACGAAGTTGTTTTATTAATAAACGATGTCTGGCAGGTACACTATGTTGGAAAAAAAACAATATAAAATCCTTATCAAAACATAATTTTTTAATAGTTTAAAAAACTTTCTTTAAGAATGAACATCTAAACAACTTTAGCGAGGACCTCAAATGCTTTTTCCTAATCTGATTCTACAAGAGGAATGTTTGAATAATTTTTAAAAGTCTTGAAAATAAGAACATGAAATGTTGATATATTTATTTATTTTCTCCATTCATTTTGTTGCAAATATATCCCGTTGTATATAAGCTGCGTACAGTATAAGAACATTAGACAGAGTATTTCTTTGGTATGATATTTCCCCTATTGTCTGTTTAAATTCAATTGTTAATTAAATTAACCTTAAGATAAAATCGTTTGTTTTTAGATATGCATATCTGAAATTAAATTCCTATTAGCAGTTCACATCAAGTTAAAAAGCAAACTCTCACATGTTCTCTTCACATAAACTCTAACAAAATGCAAGAAGAACATGGCAAAATTGATGTTATTACTTTCCGGCATTTTATATGACAGTTTCCTTTATTGCAAAGTTTTCCATCACACTTAATGCAGGTATTTTTTGCTTTGAGTTTCACTGAAAAAATAAAAAATGAAGAATAAATTAGAAAAGAGTTATCAAACTTATACACATAAATCTGATTTTTAAATATCATATTTATTTATTTTAGTATTCTTGGATTTCTTAACTAGAGTTTTTATATATATTAATTTTTTATCAGTGTACCTTTCTGTTCATTAATTCATTCATGAATTCATTTAGATTGATTAGATAAATAAATAGTTATCAAAGAAGTTTTGTGAATAATTAAGAAATGTACACATATAAATTTTAAACATGCTGACCATCATTAGATGGACATTTGATTTTAATTTATAAACTAGTAAATCTTCCTGATATTCCCGACGATTTAATAGTGGTTTGAGTAAATATAAACTAAATAAATATATTATCTCCCTTTAACCACTTTTTGATACGAAAATTCATTTAGCAAGACAAGAAAAATCTTTTATGCTTATTAGTTTAAGAAATAACACGTTTTAATTAATACATACCATATGTCTGACAGTATTGTTTTCCTCTAACTTCTGTACATTTAATTTTCTTTGCCCTTTTGAAGTCAATCTTATGATTAAAAAAATGAAAGATTTTTGAAATAGGAATGCTAGAAATTTATAATATAAAAAGAATTCAATGAAAAAAAAATTGAATAAAACAAACCAGTGACTATTATACTCACTATCTTCATCATGGGCAGACTCCTGATGGGAAAACCCTCACTGTTTTGTCTGAAGTAAAAGAAGCTCAAAGGAACAAAGTGAATGTCTCATCTGAAAAAAAAGTATTTTTTTTCTGTTTCGCAATACTATGTACAAATGTTAAGCATAAAATGAAAATGACACATGCACTTTTTTACATTTGTATAGCTTATTCTGGTTATTTCCTATCTGGAGCTCTTCATTCATCAGGTTTTATTGATACAGTGTATTTTTTCTGTTTTGTTAGTTCATTCATGAACATGAATTCATTTACATTTCTTGTTTATCTTTATTTGGAGATATTCATTGGTAGATAATGAAATAGTAATCAAAGAGGAATTTTAATTATTTAGGATGTATATGCAAATCAGGACTAGATATTTTTTTGAGTTTATAAACTAACAGATTCTCGTGATATTTCTGAAGATCTTACAGTGGTTTCAGTAAAACGTTAAATAATGTATATTATCTCCCTTTAACCATGAATATTTGTTGATGCATTTTGAAAGACAAAAATGTTTTAAAACAATGAGTTTGAAATTAGTACTTCTGAATACATACTGTTTGCCTGATAGTATTCGTTCTCCTAAATTTTGTATATTATATCCCCCATAATACATATTTTTCCCCCTTATCTTGAGTTTTATAATATAAATAGAATTGAATCGAAAAATAAATATTGAACAAAAACAAAACAAAGACGATTATACTCACTACATTTATCATGGGAAGACTCTTTATGGTAAAACTCTCTCTCTCTCTGTTTAGTGTGAAGAAATTAAAGTGAAGCTCAAAGGAACATGTGAATGTCTCATCTGAAAAAGTGTTGGTTTTTTGTGTAATATAAATGTTCCATACAAAATGAAAATTGTACATGTACTTTGTTTTACATTTGTACAGCTAAAAAAATTATTCCTAGTTTTTCCATCAAAAGGTTGCAAGATTGACTACCAGCTATGATACAATTAACTTAACTTTTAGAATGTGTGGAATCTGATGCAAAATACACAGAAATGTCTAATTTTACATAAATCAGTGTAAAGAAATAACATATGTGCCATTTTACAAGGTGAACACTACACTCCCCATTGCCCCGTTTTATTTTGAGATCTTCATATGATAATGTACACGTATAATTTATGTATTCGGAAATCATGAAAAATGAACTTTTATTTGCATTATATAAAATTGATTATTATAAATCATGAAACGTTTATTTGTTGTCGAGCTGATAGGAATCATACTTACCATGCATACTATACAGAAAAATGTAGATTTATATAAGTAAGGTTGATTCAAAATATGGAGAATTGTTCCGGATGAGTGATTTTCCCTCCTGAGTCCTGTCTGTAGTTACTTTTAGTTAAAAGCAGTATTTCAATGTCCTTCTGTAAAGTTTAATATGTTATATATGAAATCATGTCAAAATGTAGAAAGCAAAAATATCCCGTTGTATTTTAGTTACAGTATAAAGAATACATAAGTAAGAAATTTTCTTTAGTATGGTATTTCACATATTCTCTGTTAAATTTCGACTGCCAATTAAATTAACCTTAAAAAATGCCAAATAGCGTTTCACTAAAATTGTTTTGTTTTGTTTCTATGCATTTCTGAAATTAAATTCATAATTAGCAGGTTCACACAAGGAAAAAAAGCAAACTTTCTTATGTATATATTATAAATTATCTTCATCACATTTCAGAAGAATGCAAGTAGAATAACTTGAAAAAATACTATAGTAGATGCTATCACTTTCCTACCCTTGATTTGGAAGTTCTCTTTATTGCAAATTTTTCAATCACACTTGATATTGGCATTCTTTGTTTTGCGTTTCACTGAAAATTAAAGAAGGAGAACATGAGAAAAGAGTTACCAAACCTACACACATTTATTATAATTTTTTTTAAATTATACTAAATATATAATATCATTTTTCTTAATATTCTGGGATTTCTTATCCATAGTTCTCCATTTATTATGTTATTTATGATACAATATTTCCTGTTTTATCAATTAATTCATGAATATATAAATTTATTCATGAGTTCATTTACTTCTTTGCTTAACTTTATTTTGATAAAATTTGTGATATAAAAGTAGTAATCAAACAAAGTGTATCTATGTTCAAACATGATGAACATTACTAAATAAATATTTGATATCAGTTTATAAAGTAAAAGATCCTCCTGATATTCTTGAAAATTAGGAAGTGGTTTCAGTAAACGTAAAACAATATTTTACATTATCTCGCTTTAACCATGATTTTTTTTAAATGCACTTTGCAAGACAAAAACAAATCTTTTGAGTGTGAAAATAGTACTTCTGAATACTTAACACATTCCTTTACAATAATCCCTAAATTATCATTTAAAATTACAAAAAACTGTAAACTCCAGTGGTTTCAGTACAGAATTCTAAATAAAATATTGGCAATTAATTCTTTTTTTTATTAAAAATCAGAAAGGTAAATTCTGAGCAGTGTAATTTTTGTCAAAGAGAAGTAAAGAGAATTGAACATATCCTATGGGAATGTGACCTTGTACAATCACTCCTTGAAAATTTTGAATATCATCTCCAGCAGAGAAACCTCCAGTTGCCCATAACAAAACAAATATTTATTTTAGGCATTAAAGGAAAAATTATGAAATAGCGAATATCATAATTTTATGGCTAAAATATTATGTTTATACTTCTAGATGCAACGAAAAACCTCTAAATATGCACTCAGCGATATCACACTTGAATCAATTTTACCAAACACAAAAATACGAGGGTTGTTCGAAAAATTCGTGGACGATGTAATTTTCTCCAAAGATATGTTGCAATTCGAAAAAATTTGTGTATTACATTAAATGATGATATATTTTGAGATAATATGCAAAATTTCAGTAAGTTTTACTTACTTTAATTAAAGTTAAATCAATTTTTCTGATACATTGTCAATGCCCGCGGAGCAACTGTGGCGTATTTTTTGACGTCGTTACGTCACTATGTTTTATGAATAATCTTGCATCTTCTTAGAAACTCTTTCGATGCGATGATCCGCCGATTTTTTTTTCATCAAAGTAATTTCGGCACCAAACGAGTTCAAACCTTTTCAAATCCAAGAGATTTTGTGATTATTTCATGTGCCAAAGACGTATTTCAATTTTACCTCTTTATCCCTAACTGCTAATCTTCTATCTAAAGTTGTCAAGATATAACATTGACGCCGTCAATTCAGAATCAATAGTTGTAGGTCTTTCTGACTTTTCGTCATCCCAAGTATCACATCGTCAAGCTTAGTCTTTAAATCGTTTATACCACTTGCACACCATTGATCATGATATTTTTTTTATCTATCCTCACTTCTTCTAGCTATTGTTTTGTCTCAAAAGTAGTTTTATATGTTACCACATAAAATTTTATCACAGTGCACTGTTCTGTGACGTCCACTTCTGACGCCGTTTTTAACCGTGAATTGAGACCATTCCCCTTCATTATAAATCGATAATTTGACAACCACTTGCTCAAAATAACTGAAACTTCTCAAATATGACGATTGCCTATTATTTTGATCTTATATTAAATATCATAGATTTTCGAGCGCAAAATTAAAAAAAAAATCTGTAATGACAAAATCGACTTAAAATATTCAAATACGCAGAAAACGAGGATGCTCCGCGACCCCCTGCTTAAGAAATTAGAACGGCTATGATATTTTGATTTAATGGACAAAAAAACTGAAAAGTGTTTTTTTTTCTAGAAACATGGTAGAATAAAAGTATACAAAGTTTCACTTCAAACATACAAATACAGCGGTCAGTACCGAACCCGTCCACGAACTTTTCGAACAACCCTCGTATATATATCACATAAAAATGGTGAAAAAGTAAATTTGACACTCCGTGGAACAGGTGGAACCAACTTCTCTCTCTCTCTCTCTCTCTCTCTCTCTCTCTCTCTCTCTCTCTCTCTCTCTCTCTCTCTCTCTCTCTCTCTCTCTCTCTCTCTCTCTCTCTCTCTCTCTCTCTCTCTCTCTCTCTCTCTCTCTCTCTCTCTCTCTCTCTCTCTCTCTCTCTCTCTCTCTCTCTCTCTCTCTGTGTGTGTGTGTGTGTGTGTGTGATTCTCTCTCTCTTTCATATATGTAAAAATACATCATTCTGTCACAAAGATTATAAATGTTCTGCATGAAATGAATTGTATTTCAAAAATAAAAATAAAAAAAATAAAATGGGACATGTACCTTTTTTTTATATTTGTATTGCTTAAAACTTTTATTGCTAGCATTTCAAAAAAAAATGTAAGAAGGTTGCAAAGTTCAGCTCTAGTTTACATTGATGATACAATAAACCTTACTCGGAATGCATTGCATCATGTTCAAAATACTTAAAAAGTGACTATAACTTTACATTTATTAGTTACTTTCATATTATAAGGTGCAACTCTGCAGTCGTCATTGCACTGAGTTATTATAAGATTCTCATATGATAATGTATATGTATTCCGAATAATGTTTCTATCTTTGTATGCCATATACAGTTGCTATATATTAATATGTATTAACGAGCTGATAAGAATCATACTAAGACTTTTTCTGCATACCATAATATATCCGCAACGAAATTCTGGGTCAGTCTCGTTTCCTCCTTTATGACTTCTAGGTCAAAGCATTCAGGTTTTGTTATTTTTATTTCATTCCTATAAAGATATTTTTAAAAAACTATGAAATTGTATCAAGACAATAATTTTATTGATTATGCAATTTGACATCAAATTATTCAAACATAATAAATAATTCTTCAAATTTATTTTTCATACAACATTTTTTTTCAAGGTGTACCACATGTTTTCTATTACCAACGCTGAAAAAAATCAACAACAATAATTTTAGATTCAAATGGATAATAGAATGCAATGTAAAGCGATTCAACTATTTTAGAAATGAATTTGATGTATAAACATAATATGAAGAAAATTTCACAGAGTCAATAGAAATGGGTTAGAATTTGTTATCACTGCATGAAATAAAAATATGATTTATACATGAAATAACATTTAGAGTTAACATAAATTAATATTAAAAACATTCAAATGAAGCGCTGTATTTTACGTCAGAATATCCCATTGTAATTTATGCCAGTAAAAAATTTAACTGCATCTATCAGTAAGAAATCAGGATAAATTTCAAAATAACTTTGAAAAGTTATTGGCAAAAAAGTACATTTTTATTTGTATAGCTTTAAACTTTTATTGCTAGCATTTCCATTAAAATGTTAAAAGGTTGCAAATTTTAGCTTCAGTTTACAGTAACGATACAAAAAACCTAGCTCAGAATGTATTGCATCATGTCCAAAATGCTCAAAAAGTGACTTGGTGTCTATAATTTTACATACATTAGTGTAAAGACATAACACTTTCGTCATATATATTAAAAAGTGCAACACTGTAGTCGTCTTTGCACTGAGTTATTATGAGATTTTCATATGATAATGTATACGAATTCCGAATAATGTTTATATCTTTGTATGCCATATACATTTGCTCTATATTTATATGTATTAACGAGCTGATAAGAATCATACTAAGACTTTTTCCGCATACCATATATCCGCAACGGAATTCTGGGTCAATCTCGTTTTCCTCCTTTATGACTTCTAGGACAAAGCATTCACGTTTTGTTATTTTTATTTCTATACTATAAAGATATTTTTTAAAAATATGAAATTGTATCAAGACAAGTATTTTATTGATTTAAAAATGCAATTTGACATCGAAGTATTCAAACACAATAATGTAATAATTATATTGTTTTGAAATGATAATTCCCGGTTAAAGTTTAGAATTTATTCAAGTCCAAAAGTACAAAATCAAAATTTACATTTTTACACAAAAATTCCTAAAGTGAGAGTGAATTACAAACAAACTCAGGCACGTCTCATCTTTGACAACTCCTCTCACATTTCATAAATGAACCAATGAAACAAGTTAAAAGACAGTAGTAAAGTTTGGGGAAAGCTCAATGACATTAATTTATAACACAGGAAAGACTTTGAGTAAGCATAACAAATTCAAAGAAACACCAGTCTACATAAACCTGATAACAATTATGAGCTAATAGCATCGATACCGTGGGATGGAGAGAGAGATGTCAAGTTTGAGAAATTACAAACACGTGCAGCAATGCTCTTTCTGAAGATCAAATAAAACAATTAATTTTCAATTACAAATTCCCAGTACATCAATTATAATATTTAAACAATACCTAAATCATAAGTACATCTAAGAAACTAACAAATTGTCTTTATCAAAAATATGAATTTATACGCATGTATATAACATCCGCCCCCTAAAAAAAATTGGCATACAATTTTAAACATTAAACGATAAAGACAATCATAAAATACGCACACAAAAGAAATGTTATACAAAATGATAATGAAGAAAATATAATACATGTACAAGAAGAAAAATACATTCTAGTAATGAAATCAGAAGTGAATAAAATGTTTTCGAAGCATGTATACCTTGGTACCATCAAACATTCTCACATTCATACAAACATAATATTCAAATCAGAGTGCATCATAAGAACTCATAACTTGCGCTGCAATGCATAGTAAAAAAAAATGTAAACAACAAATTCTCGAATATGGTTGTTCAAAGTATAACCTGTATGGAATAACACATCCTCGGTTAGAATAAATCATACCACTTTCAAATAAAGATAAAACAATATTCAATTACGTAATTGCATAAGGTATAACCCTGACGGAATAAAACATCCTTGGTTAGAAAAAGCAATTAATATATCAAACCAACACAAAATTTTTGTTACACGATGTATGCCACAAATACTGCATACTAATACTATGTAGAATTGCATAAGGTATAACCCTGTCGGA